ATCTGCCCATAGAACACTCTTGTCCCAAGGTTGCATATATGACACTATTTATCTCTATCTCCTTAAAGGTTTGCATTCCCCCTGTGTCTTCATTTTCTGCCAACTTCTGTTTTCTTGTAAATTGCCCTCCTTGTCCCCCTAATTAGCCAGGAGTTCTGGTAGCATAGTGGTTACAAATCGGGCTGCGAACCGCAAGGTCAGTGGTTCAAGACTACCAGGGGCTCCACGGGAGAAAGATGAGGCTTTCCTGCTTCCATAAAGATTTACAGCCTTGGAAACCCTGCTCAGGGTCGCTATGGGTTGGAACCGACTCGACGGCACTTAACAACAATACTCTCTAGTCAGTGAATTCCCCCCATCTGGTGACCATGAAAGAATGTTTTTTTCAGCATGAAACTATTTTCTTGTTTTTTTTTTTCTTACAATAGATGTTGTTGTTGTGAAGTGCCATCAAGTCAGTTCTGACTACTAGCGACCCTGTATAGGGTTCCAAGGAGTGACTGATGAGTTTGAACCACTGACCTTGTGGTTCAAAACAACCCTGCAATCTAGTGCTTGATCTCATAGCGCCACACCAGGACTGGTCTCATACAATATTTGTCCTTTTGTGATTGGCTAATTTCATTCATTGTAACGTTCTATAGGTTTATCCATGTTATGAGTTGTTTTACAGATACATCATTATTCTTCAACATTGGGTAGCATGCATGTTCATGTATCAACATTTATTTATCCATTCTTTCATTGAGAGGTATGAAATGCTCTTTTTGACAATGAATATGATGTCATACCTCTTCAGTTTGTCATTCCCAGTGTAGTAAACCATATGACTGTCTGATTCAAATGTCCAATACCTGTTCATTTCAGCTCATGAGTGCCTAGGAGATCATTCTTTCTGTGTTCCGTTTCATTTTTTATGATCTCCAATGTTCCTAGACATCATGCATTCCACATTGTGATTTTTAATAGATGTTTGCAACTCTTTCTTCTCATTTTGCTTAGTGGTCGATGACCAAATGAAGGTCTCAAAAGCTTTGATGCATCCTCATCACTGAGGTACTTTGAGGAGGTGGCTGTTTCTCAGTATTATTTTGAGTTCCTTCCAACGTGAGGACTAATCTTCTGACATTACACCAGACAATGTCCTGGAGCTATTCATAAGACCTTCAGTGGCTAAGCATTCTCCTTCTTCCTAGTCTGTCTTAGTTTGGAACCTCTGTTGAGACCTGTCCACTGTGGGCGACACATTAAAAATATTGGTGGCAAAACTTCCAACATCACAGCAACATGAAAGCCAGCACAGTATGACAGAATGACAGGTGAGTGGCAGAGCACAGGAAGTGGGTGCTCTCATTGCCCCATTTTACAGTTGGGAGAGCTTAGGTCGAGTAGTCTCCCACCCATGATTTCCACTCTCCTCCCCTCTATATCCACTTCACTCCTCCAGTTTCTTCTTTGTGCAGGTCTAGCTGGTCTCATGAGTCCCGGTGTGGCGCTGTGGGTTAACATGCCAATTTGCAAAGCCGTTTGAACTGCAGGGTTGGTGGTTCAAGCTCATCAGCTGCTCCTTGGAAACCCTATACAGGGTCGCTATGGGTCGGGATTGACTGGATGGCACTTAACAATAATAGCACTTGACCTCATGGCCTGGTCTCTTCAGGTCCATCCTCCCTTCTTCCCAGGATGAAGACCCCTGCCGGTTTTTGTTTCCACTAAGAGCAGCTGGGTTTAGACTTCCCCATAAATCTCCAAAGCCTGGATGAGCTGAGAAACATCTGTCGTCTGTATGTTTGCAAATGGATTTGATTTCACATTCTGGCATGTCATTTTCCACATGCCAGCATTTTACAGGCATTAACTAATCTCAACTTTACAACTATGAAAATGACCTCCCATTTTACAGATGAGTAAATGGAGGCACAGGGAGGTTCTGAAACTTGCCCAAGAGTAAGTGGTGGAGACAGATGTTGTGTCCAGGTGTTCTGACTCCAGAACCAGCATTCTAGAATTCTATGATCTGTTACTTGGTGAGCTCATTCAAAATTGACAGTTTGACCAGGGGTCAATGGAATTTTGTCCTATAGGTCCAGATAGTAAATATTTTAGGCTCTGTAGGCCAGATGGTCTTTATTTCAATTATTCAGTGCTGCCGTTTAAAAGAAAATAAACACATGAGTGTTGCTGGGTCCCAATAAACTTTACTTACAGAGGGAATAAAAGAAAATACTGTTGAATGATGATGCATGGAGGGAACTGTAATCATTGCAACAAAATGAAATATGATAGAATGAGTGCAAAACTGATGCTCTCCCATGTAAACTATCACTCACTTCACAGTAAAAACTTAAAAAAACAACAAAACTTTACTTAAGAAGTGTGGTCTAGGTTTAGCCCCTGGGCTGTGGTTTGCAGACTCCTGGTGGATTCTAAAGTAAATGCTGTTAGGTTGCTCAGCAAAATTATTGGCTTTTTAACTGACAGGTAAGGAGTCCTGGTGGTGCTATGGGTTAAGCACTGGGCTGCTAACTGCAAGGTTGGTGGTTCAAAGCCATCAGCTGCTCTTTATGAGAAAGATGAGGCTGTTTGCGCCAATAAAGATTTACAGTCTCAGAAACCCTATTTAGTCACTATTAGCTGGGACACATTTGATGACCGTCAGTTTGTTCTTTTGTTTTTCTTTCACTGATAGTCATTAAGCATCACATTAAGTCATTGTATTCCAGGCACAGGAACAGAGCCTTGGAGGGTGTACACACACTTGCAATCACACCAAGAAGGTATATACACACAATCATATCGAGAGGGTGTACACACACTTAAATTATACCAAGACAGTGCACACACTCACAATCACACTGAGAGGGTGTACACACATTTACAATCATACCGAGAGGGTTTACACATACAATCACACCAAGAGGGTGCACACACACTTACAATCATACCAAGAGGGTGCACATACAATCACACTGAGAGGGTACACACACACTTACCACCATACCGAGAGGGTGTACACATGCTTAAATCATACCGAGAGGGTGTACATACTCACAATCACACCGAGAGGGTGCACACACACTTACCACCATACTGAGAGGGTGTACACACACTTAAATCATACCGAGAGGGTGTGCATACACTCACAATCATACCGAGAGGGTGCACACACACTACAGTCATACCAAGAGGGTGTACACACACAATCATACTGAGAGGGTGTACATACTCACAATCATACCGAGAGAGTGCACACACACTTGCCACCATACTGGGAGGGTATACACACTTACTACCACACCAAGAGGGTGTGCACACACAATCATATCGAGAGGGTGTACACTTACAATCATACCGAGTGGTGTACACAGACTTACAATCATACCAAGAGCAGGGACCATCCCGCAAAGATAGATGCCCACAGTGGTAGGTGCTTACTTAATTTGCCCTTTTATCCTGTGTTCTCTCTAGTTTAAATGGAAGCCAAACCTGGTGACAAGATTTCATTTGTTTTTCATTCTTTTCCCAACTTGAGGCCAATTTGATGAGCAGTAGTATGCAGTATTAGTGAGTCGGTGGTAGAATTAATCTGCTCTGTGGGCGATCCGGGCTCAAGTTTTGGTCAATGTATCACATGAACAACCATCGTCATCATCAGCGGAGGTTGTGTACAGCTGTGATGTCAGTCAGGTTTCAATGGAACTTCCAGACTAAGAGAAACTAGGAAGAAAGACCTGGCTATCTACTGCCCCAAACTAGTCATAGGTCCAATCTGCAACTGATCATGGGAATGTGCAGGACTTGGCAGAGTTTGTTCTGCTGTGCATGGGTTGAGGCCAACTTAGTGAGCAGCTAACACACACATAGTTTAGTGTATCTAAGGATCACCTGAAGGCTTGATAAAAATGTAGATTACTGGGTCCAACCCTGCTCTGACTCAGTTGACCTAGGCAGGGTCTTGGAACCTGAATTTTATCCCTGATGATTCCCTTCTAAGTGGTCTCTGGGACCCTCTTTAGGAAATAACAATGGAAAGGACTTTGGCAGGAAGAAACCACCTAGTTCTAATGGGGTTTGGGAAACTTTATCCTCAAAATTCCACGAAAGAGCTTCTGTTTTTAAAACACAACCTTCAAAGAAGAAAGTTCATTTCAGCGATGCTGCCAATTGTGGTGAAAAGAAAAACCTCATCTGATTAATATCAACATCTCAATGAAATGAATGATAGGCAATCCAATGGGATACCGGGCAGCCACATAAAAATTACATTGAGGAGATTTAGTCATTTAATAAATGAGGACAACAGGTGACAAGCAACATATAGAGGATGAGTCATCCGCTAGTATTAAAAATACATGCAGAAATAAAAATCTGGAAGGACAGTCACCAAAATGTGTGCATGAGGTTTCCAGTTTATGCGAAATGAAGGTGGGATACATTTTAAATAAAAAAGAGAAAGTTGAAACATTGCATCATGAAGTAACACATATCATTGTGTGTATAGTTATGTATATCTATACTGTTTTCACCAACAAAGATGGTTCAACAGTCGTATGTGTGAAATGAAACATATAGGGGGAGGTGTGAGGTCATTCCTGAAGGACAGAAGACATCCTTCATGACAACACAAGACAGTTCCCTCTGTCTCTCTGTCCCAGTGTGGGACAGTTGGTCTCTCTCTGAGTTTCTGTCTTTCATCTGTTTATTTGGCGTCTTTGAATCTCTGAGATTCTGAGTGTCTCTCTTAGCTCTCTCTCAAATCTCCTCAGAATCTCTCCCTCAATTTCCATCTCTCACTTTCTCTCTCCTCTCATTTTCCTGACTCTTCTCTTAGTTTCTCTCTTACCCTCTCTCAGTTTCTCTTTGTCTCTACCAATCTTTCTGTTTTTTCCTCTCTCCCTCTTCCTTATCCCCACACCAAGGACTGCAGAAGAATTTAATGAGATTGGATGCAAGGACAGCTCCAAGCAGCAGCAAATTTATTTCCACACAGAAGCAGGTCCCTAGAGCTGAAGTTGAGGGTAGGGAAATGGGGCTTGCAGGAGATGGCCTGGTTTTGGTTTTGAGTCCATGACGCTGTTCAGCCATTCAGTATACTGGGAGACCCTGGTGTATACCCCAATGTGGCCTATTGCAGCACAGCCCTCGCCCCAGCTGACGATCCCTGTCAAGTACCATGTGTTTTGGTATTTGGTCACATGTGGACCTCCACTGTCTCCCTTGCAGGCATCCTTGGTCCCATCCAGGTAGCCAGCACAGAACATGTTTTCTGTTATCTCTGGGGCATTGATTGACTTTTTTGTTTGTTTCTTACAGTCCTGGGTCATCATCCTGGGCACTTCTATGGTCATGAGCTCAAGAGCTGTGGAGCCCCTGTCAAGAAGCTGACCCCAGCCACTCACGGAGGAGAACCGTATGTAGGCCAGTGTGTTCTCAGAGAATTCCTTGTACGGCAAGCACAGGGGTACTATGTAGTCAGTGAAGTTCACTGGCATCCTCAGACGGAGCAGAGCGATGTCATGATTGGTTTTGCCTTGAATGTACTTGTCAGGGATTATGATTTGAGCAATTTGCCGTTCCTGTTCACTGCCTTCCTCTTCACTAAGGTCATGCTCACCTGCAAAGAAACCAAGATTGTTAAGGTGCCTGGTAACTTTTGGTAAATCTTTTCCATATAAAACCCTTGCATGGCTTTTGGATCTTTGGCCTTCCATTTTACCCTTCTGGGTTTGGCGTAGACTGCTATGGAATGGGGAATTCTCCTTTTGGAGAATCTGGAATGTGTTGGAGGTCTCCTTTTGGAATAGGTAGATGAACCGCATATCCAACTATAAAGGAAAAATCCCCAGATGACAGTTGACTTTCCCAGAAAATGACAGCTTAAGTTGGGGTGCTATGGGAAGAGTGTAAATTGAGGAACATGGGACATATAAACATCTGGAACATGGGCTATTAAAGGCAAGTGAGGAAGGTATACTAGACTTTTGATAGCTGTTGGTAGCGGAAGAAGAATGGAGCACTCAAAATCCTCCACAGTTCTTCCCAAGATGTTCTCAGTTATCCTCATCTGGTCTTGGTTCTGTTCTTACCCATAAACCCATCAGGCAACAGCCTTAACCCACAGAGAGGCACCCGTGAGTGTTCTGTATCCTCACCAGGATCAAGCCTTAGCACGAGTGATTCAGAGTAGAGAGAATGATATCTCTCCTTCGAGGTCCTTTTAAGACTCCTGGTGTGGTGCTGTAGGATCATCACTGGACTGCTAACCACAAGGTCGACAGTTCAAACCCAGCAGATGCTCCTCAGAAGCCCCATACAGGGTTTCTATGAGTCAGAATTGACTCATAGGCATTTAACAACTCCTTTTTATGTTGTGTTTGGGAGTGGGAAGAAGTGGGAACCCTGCAAGTGGAGAGGTTTGCCCAGAGGGAGTACATGTCTCCCTTTGGAGAAGCTAATCTGGTTATGGACATGAAGAGTTTGATCTCCAAAATCTTAATCCTTGTGTTATTATCATTAAAGGCTGTTTTTGAATCAGAAGGAGAGAAGGACAGTACCTACCCAAAACCACTGTCAGAGTCTTCCAGTTTCTTAGGCTGAGTTTGTCAAAACAATGGGCGGCAGTGATGACCCACATGGCTTCCAGCAGCGCTCCCCCACATTGCAGAGCTCCATTCAGCTTTATCACAGCCTGGGCCAGAGCAAAGTGTATGTTTGCAGATCACAGGATTTTCACAGGTCCCTGATTTCTTGCCTTCCCATGCACCCCAAAGGACTGACTCATCTGGAAGTGTTCATTTCTGAAATCTGAGCATCTTTGGAGATCCCTTCCTGGGCAGAGCTGTGGGCCACGACTTCACTTTGCTCAAATAGGCAATTTAACTTCTTATCTAGCTAAAACAGAACTTAAAATACTTACTGATGAAAATCAAAGACTACAGTCTTCAACACAGATTGCACCTCAATGAAAAGAAAACAAAAATCCTCCAATGGGACCAATAAATAATATCATGATAAACAGAGAAAAGATTGAAGTTGTCAAAGACTCCATTTTGCTGGGCTCCACAATCAATGCTCATGGATGCAACGGTCAAGAGATCAAATGAGTGTCAGTAGGTGAACCTGCTGCCTCTTAAAATATTAAAAGAGAAAAGATGTCAGTTTGAGGAGTAAGGTGTGCCTGACCCAAGCCATGGTATTTTCAATTGCCTCATATCCGTGTGAAAGTTGGACAATGAATGAAGAAGACTGAGCATTGATGCTTTTGAGTTACGGTGTCTGTGAAAAATACTGAAAGTACCATGGACTGCCAGAAGAACCAGCAAATCTTTCTTGGAAGAAGTACAGTCAGAATGCTCCTTAGAAGTCAGGAAGGCAATATGTCATCGCTCATACTTCACACATGTTGTTGTTGTTAAGTGCCATCAAGTTGGTTCCAACCACAGTGACCCTGTATAGGGTTTCCTGGGAGCAGCTGGTGAGTTTGAACCGCCAACCTTGCAATTCAAACCGACTTTGCAGTCCAGCGCATTAACCCACGGGGCCACACCAGACACGTTGTTGTTGTTGTTAAGTGCCATCAAATCAATTCTAACCCATAGCGACCCTGTATACGGTTTCTGAGGAGCAGCTGGTGAGTCTGAACTGCCAACCTTGCAGTTCAAACAGCTTTGCAGTCTGGCGCATCAACCCACAGTGCCACACCAGGACTCCAGACATGTTGTTAGGAGGGGCCAATTCATGGAGAAGGACATCATGTTTGGTAAAGTGGAGGGTTAGTGAAAAAGAGGAAGACCCCCCAAATAAATGGATTGACACAGTGGCAGCAGCCGTGGGCTCAAGCGTAACAACTGTGAGGATGGCGCAGGACTGGGCGGGGTTCCCAGTGACTTGTAGGGTCACTATGACCCGAACACACTCTACAGCACCTAACAACAACAACAATCTAGCTGGGACAGACTCAGGGGATTTATGTGCACATATAGATTCCTGATAAGGAGCTCTAGTAGCGTAGTGGTTACGAATCGGGCTGCTAACCTCAAGGTCATCAGTTTGAAACTACCAGCTGTTCCGCAGGAGAAAGATGATGCTTTCTGCTCCCCTAAAGATTTGCAGCCTCAGAAACCCTGTGCAGGGTCGCTATGAGTCAGAACCGACTCCACGGTGTTTAACAACAACACAGACTCCTGGTATGGCACTGTGGGATAATTCACTGGACTGCAAGGTTAGTTTGAACTGTAATGTCAATAGTTCAAATTCACTAGTCGTTCCTCTGAAACCCTATACAGGGTTGCTGTGCATCAGAACCAACTCAATGGCACTTAACAACAACAACATGGACTCTTGGTATGACACTTAGGATAAGCACTAGACTGTGAACCAAAAGGTCAGCAGTTCAAACCCACCAACTCCTCCTCAGAAATCCTGAACAAGGTCCCTATGAGTCAGAAATGACTGAACAGCACTTACAGAGCTAAAAAGCAATTGCCACCGTGTTGATTTCAGTTTATGGAAACACTACATGTTTCCATGGAAACACTACATGTGTCAGAGTAGGTTGTGCTCCATAGCGTTTTGTTTTGGAGATAGGTCACCAGGGTGAACTCGAACTGCCAACCTTCTGGTTAGCAACCAAGCATTCTAACCATTAGCACTGTTGTTGTTGTTGTTAAGTGCCGTCGAGTCGGTTCCGACCCATAGCGACCCTGTACAGGGTTTCTGAGGGTGTAAATCTTTATGGGAGTAGAAAGCCTCATCTTTCTCCCGCGGAGCGGCTGGTAGTTTCGAACCGCTGACCTTAAGGTTTGCAGCCCGATCCGTAACCACTACGCTACCAGAGCTACTTAACCAGTAGCACTGGTTATCCTGAAACTCCACAGAATTGTATAGCCATCTTTATGTACATTAGTATTATACACTCTGTGGACAATAGCAGTACGTTGACTCTTGAACAACATGGGGGTTAGGGGTGCCGACCGCCTGTGCAGTTGAAAATCTGAGTATAATTTACAACTGACCCTTGAACAACATGGGTTTGAATTGCTCAGGCCCACTGTGGTTACGAATTGGGCTGCGCTCCTTAAGGTCAGCGGTTCGAAACTACCAGCCGCTCCGCGGGAGAAAGATGAGGTTTTCTACTCCCGTAAAGATTTACACCCTTGGAAACCCTGTACAGGGTCGCTATGGGTCGGAACTGACTTGATGGAACTTAACAACAACAACAACTTACAAACAAGATTTTTTCATTCTTTTCCTGTTTCTAGGGCTGTGAGCACAAATGTTGTTAAGTGCCATCGCTTAAAACTGTGTGAATCTGGTCATATTCATATTGTCACATGGAGATGAGCAGTCTCACACCGAGTTCTGTCAGACACCCAGAACACTTGAGCTCACTGCACTGTGGTGAAATGCTGTCAAGTCAGTTCTGACTCTGAGATTCTGTATAGGGTTTCCAAGGAGCGGCTGGTAGGCTTGAACCGTGACCTTGTGTTTAACATTCCGCTGCTTATCCTACAGTGCCACACCAGGACTCCCCACTGCACCAACAACTGGGGGGAAAAAACCACATATATGTGGACTGGTAAAGTCCAAACCTGTATTGTTCACGGGTCAGCTGTACTGGTGTTGAATCTCACTGCCTACCTCCCCGGTATTTCCATGTAAGTCAAACCCAACAATACACCCTAGCTTTGATAGCTTTTGATAGTAGGAGGAGAAAGCATCACACTTTAGTGAAGTGTCCTGAGGATTAAATGAAATAATGTGTAGCAACTAGCACAGGTCTTTGAAAATAGCGTTGTTGTTGTTAAGTGCTGTTGAGTTGGTTCCAACTCACGAGACACTGGATAGGGTTTCCAAAGAGTGGCTGGAGGGTTTGAAGTGCTGACCTTGTGGTTGACAGTCAAATACTTATAGTAGATCCTCAATGAATGTTTTCTTTGCCTTTCTTCTTTTGCCCCTTGCACCCCCCCAAAAGTAAGAAGGATACTGCTGAGCTGGACCCTTGAGTGAAGCTGGATGGAATAATTCAACCCCCTCACTCCCCCACCCCCCCAGGCTGATTCCCCACACTGGGAGGAAAAAGGTGTAGAATCTTCCAGCCAAGCCAGTACTTGAACACAGGGCATTGTAAGGTTGGGGAAACTGCAGAGAATGTGGGTGTCGATGGCTGAGGTGGAACGGACCTGAGGGACAGTCCTGGTCCAGTTTACAGTGAGTCACTGTGTGTGATGGCATTGTATTGTCATCAAGTCTGCTGATTTAACATCAGCCAGGGAGGAAAGAGACTGAAATGGGGTCAAATCAGTCTTGTTGTTGTTGTTGTTGTTGTTGTTAAGTGCCACCCAGTCAGTTCCAACCCATTAGCAACCCTGAATAATGTTTCTGGGGAGTGGCTGGTGAGCTTGAACCAGCGACCTTGCAATCCATCTCATTAATCCACAAGACACACCAGGACTCCCAAATCATTCTTAATCAGGACTAATTTTCCCAAATTGCAGGCACTGGAATCACCTGTTGCTAGTGAGTAATCCCTTTCCTCACCTAAATCTGGGAACAATTGGGTCCCTCAGAGAAGAAAACAAACACCCTACAATACAATGCTCACAATGGATGAGAAGAATGCTCTGTAAATTTAGAACTAAAGCTCTTCCCTAGTGAAATGCCTGGGGCAAGGAACCTGGCAATCTACACCAGAGCTGGCTACTTGCCAATCTGCAGCCACAGGTACCAAGCGGAAGTCTACGGGAAGCTGCTACAAGCATGGAGCTGGGCTGCCCAAATGTCCACTCTGATGTGGCCAAGGCATTGCATCTTTCTGGCAAGAGGAACCTTCCATTCCTTCATCTGTAAAATGCGGATGGTAGTTGAGCCTGCCTCATGCAGTTGTGGGGATTAAATGATAGCTGAATGGCAGGCCAAGTCCTGGAGGATGTAACAGGTGGTAGGTCAGCAGTGAGTGTAGTGACTACATCGGTCCAGGTGGGCCACACTGTAACTCATACCCCATCTCTACATCACCGAAGCTTTGTTAACAGGGACACTAATGAATACACAGGAGTCCTGGTGTGGCAATGTGGGATAATGCTCTGGACTGCAAGGTTGGTTTGAACGACAAGGTCAGTAGTTCAAGCTCACCAGCCGCTCCTTGGAAACCCTATACAGGGTCTCTATGAGTTGGAACTGACTCAACGACACTTAACAACAACAAATACATTAGTTCTATTGAAATAACATCAAGCTTCTGGTTCTGCAAAGCTGAGGAGTAGGTCTTGGAAAAAGAGATTCCACTCTATCAGACTCTAAGGCAGGGTCCGAGTAAAACCCACAAAACCCCCAAATCTGTTACTGTCAGGTTTATGGCGACCCCATGTGTTTTTACAGAGTAGCTTGTCTTCACAGAGTTTTCTTGGCTGCACTATTTATGCACGTAGCTCACCTGACCTTACTTCTGCAGACCCAGCCACTGCCATTGGGACAATTCTGATTCTTGTGACCCCATGGAACAGAGCAGAACTAAATCTTTATAGGAGCAGGCAGCCCATCACCTCTTGGAGTGGTGGGTGGGTTTGAACAAACTGCACCACCCAGGGATTTTGGCTGATGAAGACCCTCCCCTCTGACCTCCATGGGTGCCTGAGGAGTGGGCAGCTCCGTGGGGGCAGCTATATGGAAAATTAGCTTCTTGAACCCCAAAACCAAGCCCACAGGGTGAGAGCAGGACAGAGCATGGCCTGATGCTGCCAGCCCAGCAAGAATGAAAGGTTAGAGAAGTTGTTCTAGAAGAGACTAAAACAGTTGCCCGTGTGACTTTTCTGAAAAGACGTGAGAAAAATGAAGCTACTTTGTGTCCACGGTTACTCGATTTCAGGTATTATGCCAAGAACTGACCAATGAGATTCTCAGCTTTCACTTACAAAGGTTTGAAACGCTGACTTGTTGTTATACAGGCGTCATAGAAATGAAATGAGTAATGATAAAGCTTGAAAAACAGCAAAACAAGGTGGTTCTTGCCAACAGGTGTTTGGTTGGCCCTGACTCACGGTGAGCCATCCTTCCCTCCTCACCTGCCCCTGACACAAGCGGAATGAAACACTGGGGTCCATGGGGTTTTCATTGACTGACTTTTGGAAGAAAACTTCCAGGCCTTTCTTCCTAGTCTCTCTATTCTGAAACCTGTTCGACATCATTAGCATCTCAGAAGACTCCAGAGATATAGATGGGTGGTGACCGTCCATGAGGTGCACAAGTCTGGAATTGAACCTGGGTCTCTGGCTTGGGAGATGAAAGATTCTACCCCTGAGCTATCATCACCCAATAGTTTACTGACTTAGAATTCAGGCCAAACTGAAAAAAAAAAAAACCACCCCAAAAAACCCCAAGTGCATTGCCACTGATCCAACCAGGACAGGCTTTCTGAAGTGCTAAGTCCTACCGAGCAAAAAGCCTTCTGAGGAGGCAGCTGGTGGGTTTGAACAAGCTTGCAGTTAGCAGCCCAGCGCGTATCCTACAGTACCACCAGGGCCCCTTTCCATACAGCCTCTGAACATTTAATGTGTATGTGAATCACCTGGGCCCTCGTTAAACAAAGGTTCTGATTTAGTGGGGCCTGGGATCCTGCGTGGTGAGTAGGTTCTCCGGGATGTTGCTACTGCTGTTCCATTTCTCACAGTCTGTAGGCTGGGATCCTAGGTGTCTGGACTCAAGGTGCCTCCCAGAGACGTACCCTGGAGGAGCTTCCCTGAGGAAAGCTTTGGCTGCCTGACAAGAAAAACAACTCATTTCCTTTACAAGGAGCAGCTTTTGTTGTGTAAGAAGAAATCTCAGCTTTCAGAAGTGGTGAGTACAATGGGAAGGCCATGAGATTGGGAGCCGGGTAGCCCTAAATTCAAATTTTACCTCTGTCCTTTATTAGTTATGTGACCTCCGTTTCCTTGTCTGTAAATGGAATCAGAACACTGTCTTGTGATGGGTTAGGAAGTGTAAATGCAAGCGTGACAGGTGTATTGAAATCACCAGATAAATGATTGTTTCGAAGTTTAGCATGTCTGTGTAAAAATCAAAAGAAAACCTGGAACTATAGAAAACATTGTGACTTACAGAGACCTTAGGTGGGGAAAACTGAAACAGATCATTCATTTAAGGACTTTGTGTGTTAGCAGGGTTGACTTGTGCTCTGAGTGTTCTGAAGTTGGTCTGCAAATTTTCTCTTTGAGGATTGCTAATAAGCTCTCATTCAAATGTCTGCAATCATCCCAGGGCCCGGAAATCAAGAAGTCGGGAGAAAATCAGAGCTGGCTGACATGGTTCTAAGCGGTCCCATTGGGTCAGGGGACACTCACCTGCCACGGGCATTCTCCTCTGGGACACAACTTGCCACCTACAATTCGGCCTTGGGGGTGGCTGCCATTTCTTTTTTCCAGAATAGGTATTTTTCCACACGGATATTCAACTGTATAAAAAATATTCATAAAAAGCAGGGATTTATGAAGGATGAATGTACTTGTCAGTTAAAGGATTAAATTAAATGGTCCTCCAAGATCTGGAGGCCAGGGCTGTTTGGCTTCCCTTCTAGCACTGCTCCGTCCAGGGCTTTGGGGTTGGTGGAGTTGGTGGATGGTCTACTAGGTCCAGAGTCAGGGAAGGCTGGGTTACATCTGCCAGGGCCCTAAGGAGATGCCATGACCAGGGGACTCTGTTAGATCTGGCTGACAGCTCACGTAGCTGGGGAGAGACCTTAGCTGTCTCTCATTCTGGCTGAAGAGATGGGGTAATCCTATTTCTTACAATTAAAACCTGAAATTGATTCCCACTCAGTGACTCTATAGGACAGGTCAGAACTGCCCCTGAGGGTCTCCATGGTTGTAATCTTTATGGAAGGAGCCCAGGAAGTGAGTGATTAAGCACTTGACCTCAACCTGGAAGTTCGGTGGTTCAAACCCACCAGTCACTCCATGGGCAAAAGATGTGGCAGTCTGTTTCCATAAAGATTGTTGTTGTTAAGTGCCGTCAAGTTGGCTCTGACCTTTAACGACCCTGCATAGGGTTTCCAAGGAGCGGTTGTGAGCTTGAACCACCGACTTTGTGGTTCAAACAACTTTGCAGTTCAGTGCATTAACCCATAGCACCGTTTGTTGTTGTTAAGTGCCATCGAGTCGGGTCCGACCCATAGCGACCCTGTACAGGGTTTCCGAGGGTGTAAATCTTTACGGGAGTAGAAAGCCTCATCTTTCTCCCGCGGAGCGGCTGGTAGTTTCGAACCGCTGACCTTAAGGTTCGCAGCCCGATTCTGTTCGGTCTTGCTAACTGTACACACACCGGGTGTGGGTTTACTTGTTGTTGCTAAGTGTTGTCGAGTTGGTTTCAGCTCATGACAAACCTATATAGGGTTTCCAGGAGTCCTGGTGTGGCTCTGTGGGATAAGCACTGGACCACTAAACCCTGAAACCTTGTGGTTCAAACTCACCAGTCGCTTCTTGGAGACCCTCTATAGGGGTCACTATGAATCAGAACCAACACAACAGCACTTAGCAACAACATAGGGTTTTGAAAGAGCATCTGGTGGGTTTGAACTGCCAACCTTGTGGTTAGCAGTCCAATGCTTATCTTACAGTACCACATCCGGACTCCTAGATTAAGAAAACTATAGTAGAGATCCTAAGACTCTTGGGAATTCTCTGATTGTGGAACTAGGGTATGGCAGACAGAATCCCATTCTGACCCCCTGGGTCTGGCTTCACAGCCTTTCAGGGAGCTACATCCAGTGTGACTGGGTTGGTTGACCTTCTGTCCTGGTTTCTTGTGACCATTACAACTCCTGCTCACCATGGCTCAGGCCTGCTGGGGTGGGGACAGCCATTTTGACCCTTGGTCTTTCTCCCTGCCTCACTAGGTGAGGTTATGCCAGCCCACCTCATCTTCCAGCCACCTGAGGTAACAGGAAGTAGCAGTAAATAGCTAAGGAGGCTAAGCTTGGCCCTGGAGAGCAGGGCCTGAGGATGGATTACCTGAGGGCACACACGATACTTCATCTTCCATGAGCGTGTAGCCATCGTGACACTGGCAGGACCGTTTGGTGTCTGTGTTGTCGCTGCAGTATTGCTCACAGCCTCCGTTGTCATTCACACAGATCAGCTGACTGTTTTTGTCTGAGAACAGGAAGGGAGGGCGTGAGAGGGGCCAGAGAAAGCCAGCTCTGGGGGACGGCCTCTCCCCTGGGGCTAAGAGGAGGGTGATAGAGACTGAGTATGATGGCACAGCTTGGACTCGAGGATGCATCTGGAAGGTAAGACCGGGCAGGAGGGGGCTTGACCAGGAGGAGAGCAGGGCTGGCTGGGTAGCGTTTGAGGAATGATGGGACTTGTATGAGACAGCGCCATGAAGACCACATTGTCAAGAGGCTGGTGGGGAGCTGGGAAGCCCTTAGTGAAAGGTAGCTCATACAGTGATGATGTCCAATGTAGTCAGCGTCTGGCCAGGCAAGAGATGACCAGGGACTGGATTCCAGCCACCAGGAACACCAGGCAAGAGGCTGAGCAAGTTCGTTGGGCACTTAGTCCCAGCATGGCCCATTGGCTCCTACAGAAGTTGAAGTAAAACTCAGTGTGACCGTGAAGGATAAAGCCTTGGTTGTGGACATTGTAGTTGGTTCCGTGTGTGTGTGTATTAAATCTCAGCAGTGAAGGCATGCCTTGGCAGATTTCCAACCACGGCTGGTAGGCATCAAATCAGTAAAGCCAATTGTTGTCAGCTGACTCCCATTTGTGGCAAGCCCAGGTGTGTCCGAGTAGAAATGTGCCC